GTGGGGAGGGGTGGGGGGGTTGGGGGGAGGGCTTTCTTCCTACATCTGTTGGGGGCAAGTTGGGGAAGTTTCTGGAACCAGAGGCTGTGCTACCTTCCTCAAAGGACCTGAAGCTTACCCATCCTAACGTGTTCCCTAGCCCCTATCAATAACTCTCTCTTCCTGTTGCCCCATATGCACCATCATGGTTCTCAAGCACATCTGAACTAGTGTTCCTTGAACTATATCAGACCCTGAAACTCTGGAGCACACACAGTGTTCACCTGTCATCTGCTAAGTGTGTACTGAGAGCCAAAGCCAGGGGAACATGGCAGGGTTGGTCAAAAGAGTCTGGAATGAAAAAAAAAGGAACCCACCGATTTACTTGTCTGGAAAACTGCTGTAGTGCCAAGCAGTGGCATCTAAATTGCCTTCCTAAATGGTACCCAGGAAAGTAGAAAAAAAATTCCCATTAGTAGAATGGTTAACAGTGAGAGTTACTGGCAAAACAATCAATTCAACCACACTATTACACACTTCAATCTCCCAGTCTGGCTGGGTAAGGAGACTCTTGTAATCCCATAAATAGGAGTGGCTGAGGCAGAAAAATGTTTGAGCCCTTACTGGATAAGACAGTAAGTGTCCTGCCTGGCTGGATTACACAGTGAGACCCTATTTTATTTTATTTTTTATTTTAATTAGAAAGATTATTTTATATGTTAATCCCAGGTCCCTCTCTCTCCCCTCCTCCCCTGGTCCCCCCCGATTAATTCCCTACCTATCCCATACCCTATCTCCGCCCCAGGGAGGGTGAGGCCTTCCATAGGGGGTCTTCAAAGTCTGTCATATCCTTTGTGATAGGGCCTAGGCCAACCCCCTTGTGTCTAGGCTCAGGGAGTATCCCTCCATGTGGGATGGGCTCCCAGAGACCCTTCCTCTGCTAGGGATAAGTACTGATCTACTACAGGCGGCCCCATAGATTTCCTAGGGCTCCTCACTGACACCCACATTCATGGGGTCTGGATCAGTCCCATGCTGGTTTCCCAGCTATCAGTCTGGGGACCAAGAGCTCCCCCTTGTTCAGGTCAGCTGTTTCTGTGGGTTTCATCAGCCTGGAGATCCTGTTTTAAAACACCCCACAAAAAAAAAAAATTAAGGCTGATAAAACATTAAATATAAAACCCTATGGAACTGGGACACCACAGTTAGACTGAAAATATGCTAATGTGCACAAGCAAAAACACAAAAATAAAACCCAGATACATAGTCAAATACTATCAAGACTTACAGACCAATTTAATTCTTTTTGTTCATTTATTTGCAGTTTTTAAAGCAAAATATGTAGTACTTCTGTAATAAAAAACTATTTAATTTTATTTTTTTACTGACAGAAAGATGGGAGGTTTAGAATATAAAAATGTGTAGGAAGGTTTGGGTAGGGTGGGAAATGGGAGAGAGAGAAGGGTGAGGGACAACCAATACTAAAGGTGTTTGGAAAAGCTTCCTAGACAGTTTAACTGCGGTTATCCTCCATGAAGGATAAAGGTTGTCAAATAAAAAGGCCAGTGTCAGAAGTGGATACCCTCCTCGTGGCTCAACAATGTTCCCAAGAACCCCACCCCACCCCACACAAACAATGGAGGTTACTATCATTGCTCTTGGCTGCCCATCAGAACTTCATGTTAAGACCGTATTGCTGAAGACACATTTTTCATCTCAGGACAGGGTTCTGATCAGAAATCATCTGCTGGCTAGTTTTCATAGTACTGGAAGGAATGTGGTATCAGGGTGCCTGGGATGGAAGTGAGGGGCATCAATCAACAGTTTTACCCAGCTGGGACTGCTGTGAACTGAAATGATGACTGATGTGGTAACCAACTACTTTCTGATTGGATTTAAAGCTCACTCCGTAAGGAGGTATGTAACCCTGTACATAGGCCCCTAGGTGAGGCGGGTACAATGTCAAACTGACCTCAAAGTCACATCCCTAAAACCATACATTAGCGCAGACCTCAGACCTCATCACAACAGTTTCCTTTTAGCAGTGGACGATGGTTAATGCAGAAAGCCACAACTGGTCAAAGCACAGAGAATAAACGTCTGTGGGATGCTCAGCTATAAATAGAGTTACCTGTATCACTCCCACCACCAACAACCTACACACCCCACATAGACCCTTACACACAAAGGCGAGGGTACCAATCCTTAAAAACAATGAAACAACAAACGAACCCCTTCCGGGTGATTCCAAAGTGGAAACAAGTTTGAGAGCCAAGGTCTACTGGTAATTTTCATTCTATACAACAATGTTTGAGCTCAAAAATGAAAAGTCTGTACATAGACGTGAATTAGAGGGAACTATATGTAGAGTCAGAACAACCCGGCCTAAATGTCACCAGAATCCTCTCGTCTCTGGGGCTGAGACCATGCCTCTGAGCCTGTGTTTCTGAAGCTAACTAGGGACAAAGCAGTAACTCAATGGTGGTCAGGGATTCACTGATGAGTCAGTCCAGGTTAGGCTTAGGTAACTAACAGTTGTCTGTCTCTCTCCACTGGCAGACATGGCACCTGCACTGTCATTTACAAACTTCGTACTTATTTCTTGTATTTGTGATCCAAGATGAAAGTCAAGAGAGCATTAATTAAAAATGAAGGTTTCTGCCAATAAAACCCCATGCCTAGAGTAAACTAACACTATCAGAATTACGGTAGTGA